CCATAGGGAGCTCCACCGAAGGCCCCAGTGGCTGCGTTCGCATGCCTCCCCACCACCCATTTCGGCACACCCCTCACACGTTTCGTGGCCCCATAGGGAGCTCCACCGAAGGCCCCAGTGGCTGCGTTCGCATGCCTCCCCACCACCCATTTCGGCACACCCCTCACACGTTTCGTGGCCCCATAGGGAGCTCCACCGAAGGCCCCAGTGGCTGCGTTCGCATGCCTCCCCACCACCCATTTCGGCACACCCCTCACACGTTTCGTGGCCCCATAGGGAGCTCCACCGAAGGCCCCAGTGGCTGCGTTCGCATGCCTCCCCACCACCCATTTCGGCACACCCCTCACACGTTTCGTGGCCCCATAGGGAGCTCCACCGAAGGCCCCAGTGGCAGGGTTCGCATGCCTCCCCACCACCCATCTCGGCACACCCCTCACACGTTTCGTGGCCCCATAGGGAGCTCCACCGAAGGCCCCAGTGGCAGGGTTCGCATGCCTCCCCACCACCCATTTCGGCACACCCCTCACACGCTTCGTGGCCCCATAGGGAGCTCCACCGAAGGCCCCAGTGGCAGGGTTCGCATGCCTCCCCATCACCCATTTCGGCACACCCCTCACACGTTTCGTGGCCCCATAGGGAGCTCCACCGAAGGCCCCAGTGGCAGGGTTCGCATGCCTCCCCACTACCAATTTCGGCACACCCCTCACACGTTTCGTGGTCCCATAGGGAGCTCCACCGAAGGCCCCAGTGGCAGGGTTCGCATGCCTCCCCACCAACCATTTCGGCACTCCCCAACACCCATTTCGGCACACCCCTCACACGCTTCGTGGCCCCATAAGGATCTCCACCGAAGGTCGGGGGGAGCTTGACACTGGTATCCTTGCGGTACTCGCAGCTGCATCTGGTTGGGTTCTTCGCCAGGCTAATTTCCCCAAACATCCTGTGGTGTTGGGTCCTCGTTTTGAAGAGACGGTGGCCCGCGTCTCCTCTTCTCCTCTCCTCCTCCTCCCCTTCCTTCCTCCTCCGTCCTCCCACCATCATCATCGTCATCCTCATCATCATCGTCGTCGTCATCATCACCGTCATCATCATCTTCGCCATAATCCTCACGACCGTCCTCATCACCATCATCGTCATCATCATCGCAGTCATCACCACTATCACCTCTCACACGTACCGTGGCCCCATAGGGAGCTCCACCGAAGGCCCCAGTGCGTGTGCCCGCATGCGTCCCGCACACCCATTTTGGCACACCGCTCACACGTTTCGTGGCCCCATAGGGAGCTCCACCGAAAGTCCCTGTGGGTGTGCCCGCATGCGTCCCGCGCACCCATTTCGGCACACCCCTCACACGTTTCGTGGCCCCATAAGGAGCTCCACCGAAGGCCCCAGTGGGTGTGCCCGCATGCGTCCCGCACACCCATTTCGGCACACCCCTCACACGTTTCGTGGCCCCGTAGGGAGCTCCACCGAAGGTCCCAGTGGCGCAGTCCGCATGCGTCTCCCTCACCCAGTACGGCGTGTCGTGGCCCCATAGGGAGCCCCACCGAAGGTCCCCGTGGCGCAGTCCGCGTGCGTCTCCCTTACCCAGTGCAGCGCTTCGTGGCCCCTCTCCCTCACACCTATTTCGGAACACCCCTCACACGTTTCGTGGTTTCATGAGGAGTTCCACCGAAGGTCCCAGTGGGTGTGCCCGCATGCGTCCCGCACACCCATTTCGGCACACCCCTCACACGCTTCGTGGACCCATAGGGAGCTCCACCGAAGGTCCCGGGCGGTGTGCCCGCATGCGTCCCGCACACCAATTTCGGCACACCGTTCACACGCTTCGTGGCCTCATAGGGAGCTCCACCGAAGGTCCCAGTGGGTGTGCCCGCATGCGTCCCGCACACCCATTTCGGAACACCCATCACACGTTTCGTGGCTCCATAGGGAGCTCCACCGAAGGTCCCAGTGGGTGTGCCCGCATGCGTCCCGCACGCAGATTTCGGCACACCCCTCACACGTTTCGTGGCCCCATAGGGTGCTCCGGCGAAGGTCCCAGAGGGTGTGCCCGCATGCGTCCCGCACACCCATTACGGCACACCCCTCACACGTTTGCGTGGCCCCGTAGGGAGCTCCACCGAAGGTCCCAATGGGTGTGCCCGCGTGCGTCCCGCACACCCATTTCGGCACACCCTCCACACGCTTCGTGGCCTCATAGGGAGCTCCACCGAAGGTCCCAGTGGATGTGCCCGCATGCGTCCCGCACACCCATTTCGGCACACTCATCACACGTTTCGTGGCTCCATAGAGAGCTCCACCGAAGGTCCCAGTGGGTGTGCCCGCATGCGTCCCGCACACCCATTTCGGCACACCCCTCACAGGCTTCGTGGCTCCAAAGGGAGCTCCGCCGAAGGTCCCAGAGGGTGTGCCCGCATGCGTCCCGCACACGCATTTCGGTACACCCCTCACACGTTTCGTGGTCCCGTAGGGAGCTCCACCGAAGGTCCCAGTGGATGTGCCCGCATGCGTCCCGCACACCCATTTCGGCACACCCCTCACACGTTTCGTGGCTCCATAGGGAGCTCCACCGAAGGCCCCAGTGGGGGTGTCCGCATGCGTCCCGCACGCCCATGTCGGCACAACCCTCACACGTTTCGTGGCCCCATAGGGAGGTCCACCGAAGGTCCCCGTGGCGCAGTCCGCATGCGTCTCCCTCACCCAGTACGGCGTGTCGTGGCCCCATAGGGAGCCCCACCGAAGGTCCCCGTGGCGCAGTCCGCGTGCGTCTCCCTCACCCAGTGCAGCGCTTCGTGGCCCCGTAGGGAGCTCCACCGAAGGTCCCCGCGGACGACCCGCGCGCGTCGCTGGGACCCCCTCGGGGCGACCAGCGCGCGTCGCAGCAGCTCCGTGCTGCGTTCTGCCCAGCGCCTCGCTCGCCCGTCGTCGCTCTGCCCAGCGGCAAGAGCCTTGCCCGCTATCAGCCAGCCAGCTAGCTCTCTTTGCTCCGCGCAGCGGACGACCCGCGCGCGTCGCTGGGACCCCTCCGGGGCGACCAGCGCGTGTCGCGGGGACCAGCCAGTTAGCTCTCTTTGCTCCGCGCAGCGGACGACCCGCGCGCGTCGCTGGGACCCCTCCGGGGCGACCAGCGCGCGTCGCGGGGACTCCGCGCTGCGCTGCGCCCGCAGCCTTGGACTTTTGAGTGCGCGGGCAAAGAGGGAGTAAAAGAAGGGGGGGAAGCGGGCGCGATCCTCGCGGGGAGGCGAGCCGAAATTGGCGTCGCAGCGCGCGGGCGATGTCGTCGGGGAATCCCGGGGAAACTCCTTGCGGCGGCCACGCCCAGCGTCACGAGTACTCAGAGGCAGTCACTCTCAAACTATTGACATTCATATACAAGTACACCATGCTTTGTCATACTCGAATTCATGCACGTAGACTAGCTCGCACGCGTATTCATTCACAGTCAGACGCACTCGCTCGCGCTCATACTCACCCGCGCTCAGTCTCCCTACGTAGTCAGATCAATCGTTTTCGTTCGCGTTGTGTACCACGCCATTCATTTCGGCACACCCCTAGCACGGTTCGTTGCCTCGTAGGGATCACCACCGAAAAAGTGAATCACAATTGTGGTACTCACACCTGGATATGGTTGGGTCCTTCGTCCGGCTCATTTTTTGTTTTAAAAAACGTTTCTCTTCATGAAGGAGTGGCAGTTCCCGAGCGCCTCCTTGGACCCACCGCCCCCCCTCTGAGAGTCTTCACAAGTGTTTCCCCCCAGACCCTGCCAAAACCACCATCAAGGTTTTTTTTGGGGGGGTTAGAGGGGGGTGGGGTTGAGGTTGAGGAGGGGTTCCCCCCCCCCAGACCCCTCCCAAACCCCACTCAACGTTTCTTTGGGGTTCACACGGGGGGTCCTACGGTACGGGGGGTCCTTTGGGTTTTCTTCTACGTTTTTTTTTTAGAACCTTCCTGAGAGGGGGTTTCTAGTTGCAGGAGTTCCCCCCTGGACTCCCCCGCCAGCGCGGGTTGGCAGGGCAGCCCGCTTGCAGCGCTCATTGGAGAAACCGGGGCAGGCAGAAACCCCAGCCCGTCCCCCAGCGATCCCAACTGCCCCGCACCCAGGCCCGCGCCTTTCCTGCGCCAATCGGTCATGCAGCGCCGTTCGCCTTCTGAAGTTCAGTCGAGGGAGGATCAGGCCCAGCGGCGCAAAGACTCTTAAGCGCCCGGCCGCCACCAAGTTTATCAGTGCGTTTCCCCCACTCGTCCACAGTCGCTTGGCAGCGGCAGTGGCTACGCTTCTCGGTGCGTCTGACAGCGCCCACAGACATTCGGATGGCTGTTGTTTGCCAATCTAGAGTTGCAGATGCAGCCGGCGAGTCATCACCCTGTGCAGAGTTCTTCGTGATGTTCCACCGACCTCGCCTGCTTTAAACCTGCCGCCCCTGCCGCCAAAGCCGCGTTCGAAGCCTCCGCCCCCGCCGCCAGCGAGGTCGGACTTTCGCAGGCTGCGCCTCCCAGCTTCCGGCGCCGAGCTATCCGACGCCAGCCGACGCCAGGGCCAGAGCAACCGCGCAGACAGCCGGCGCCACCCCAAGGATTTGTAGCCGGGGAGTAAAGGCAGAACCGGCAGACGGCAGCGCAGCCACAGTCCAAGAGGCATGACTCACAAGCCTCATAAGTTAAGGCGCCCATCATACCTCGCTCATTTCTGCATTGATTTCCTCTGACCTCTTTGCCTCGATGTGATCCGCTCGCGTGCTTAAATCGCGTAAGATGTGCGCGCAGGCGCTCGCAGTATCTGCGCAGGCTGTCGACTTCGCCATTTCCTTCTCCTCTCTCCTTTCTCCGTGTTGGCTTCAAGCCACTCGTCGCAATCCCTTCCCGTTATGGTGCCCTTTCCTGTCCGAGGGTGTGCGTGTAGTGCGCCTCGGCATGTCAAGGGCCTATTCTCATCCCTCTCTCTCTCTCTCTCTCCCTGGTCGTTGCTGGATTTGCGGGGAGGGGGGGGCGCGCGCGCCTTTGCTTTTTGCTGTCGCGCGTTGCGCGCAGCTGCGTTGAAGGCCCATGTCCCCCACGGGTCAGTATCGCTCGAACACATCGTTTGTTTCGTGCTCACGCGCGATGCGTGTTTCATTTGTCCCCTGGGGGCTGGGAGCGGGCCCGGGTCGGGAGCGCGCGCGCTCCCCCGAGGCCGCCGCCGATAAGGAGAGAGTAGGTGGCCAGCCGTTTCCAGCTTCTTGCCTCATTGAATCCCCCGCTCTCCCGCGCCAGCTAGCGCTGGCCCAGTCTGATGTTTGCATCGGGCTATCGGGCTATACATTGAATGCAAGCAGCAATCGATGCTCTCTCACGCGGCAGCGCGGCATCCTTTAGCCCCGCCACGCCCCATTTCTTTGACGGTCCGTTCAGACGATAATACCGCCGAGCTAAGTCTGATTCGAGACGGGGCGCGCGTCACTCCCAGCAGTTGTTTATGCGCTTATTTACGTGTCCTCGTACGTCTTGGATTGGCAGCTTAACCCAGAAGGGTGCTCTGCCAGTTCGCGTGAGCATGGCTCTGAGGCATAGTTCAAGCCGTGCTATCTCAGCTATCCGATCGTGATTATCCTCTTCTTGCCTCCTTGCGCGCAGCAGCTCAGTCGCCATCGTGCGCATTCCACGTGGCAGCGACCCCTCTGAGTTTCAGCTAGTCGCCGAAGTTCGAGGCTAACCGCGTGCCTGGCCATAGTTTTCATTGATTCAAGAAGGGGTGCTTGCCATTAAAGGCCACAGCCAAAAGGCAAGGGCAATGGCCCAAGTAGGGAATTCGAGTTGCATAGCGCTTGAGTGGTTCACGCACCCATCTTTTCTCCTTCAAGGATCCCCCTACCTTCTTTGCGCGACCACCTCAGCCGTCAGGGTCCGCCCGCCCGACCCGTCAGTTAGGGTCCACCCAGCCGACCTGCCCGTCATGTTGCGGCCGCTTGGCCCGCTTGTCAGGGCAATCGTAGGTAATCGTCGCAGTCGTCGCCTACGTCGCCGCCGTCGTCGTCGCATTTGTCGGCGTCGTCGTCGTCCTTGTCGTCGGTGTCGTCGTTACCTCCGTCGTCGTTGTCGTCATTATGGTCGGGGTCGTCCTCGTCGTCGTCGTCGTCGTCGTCGGTGTCGGTCACGTCGTCGCCGTCGTGTTCGTCGGCGTCGGCCTCGTCCTCGTTCTCGTCCTGGTCGTCGCCGTCGTCGTCGTCCATGTCAGTGCCAGTGTATCTATGACTCGTCGTCGTCGTTGTCGCCGTTGCTGCTGTCATCGTCGCCATCTTCGTCGTTCTTGCCGTCAGCGTCGTCGTTCTCGTCGTGTTTGTCGGCGTCGTCGTCGTTGCCGTCGCCCTCATCGTCGTCGTCGCCCTTGTAGTCTTTGCGCTTGTTGTCCGTATCGTCGTCGTCGTGGTCGTTCTTTTTGCCGTCGTCATCGTCATTCTTGTCGCCCCCGTCGTGGTCGACGCCGTCGTAGTCGTTGTCGTCGCCCTCGTCGTCGTCGCTGTAGTTGCTCTCTTCGTCGTCGTCGCTCTCGTGGGTATCCTGCTGGATGGTTTGCACACTACTTGAAATATCCCGCCTTGCCCGACCCGCCCGTCCTTTCGTGACCGCCTGCCCGACCCGCCCGTCAGGGCCCCGCCCGCCCGTCCCGCTCGCCAGAGTCCGCCCGCCCGACCTGCCCGTCAGGGTGCGTCCGCCCGGCCCGCCCGTTCAGGTCGTTGTGTGGCAGCCCTCGCCGCCGTCGTGGTTGTTGACGCCGTCGTCGTCGTTGCCGTCGTCGCCGGCGTCGCCGTCATCGTCACCTCCGTCGTCGTCCGCCTCAACCTCGACGCCGTAGTCATCATTTCAGTCGTCGTCGTCGTCGTCGTCGTTGGCCTCGTTGGCGAGCCCTTCCCGCTTTCGGTGCACGTGGCGAGCAGAAAAAGCATAATGCGTTTTTCACCCCCCCCCTCACCGCCCCCACCCCGTGTTGCCACGCGACGGGTCGAGCAGAGCACTACGTGTTTCCGCCTCCTGCGCTGCAATGTAAGTGTTCCGCCCTCTGCGTTGCCCGTACCGAATAGGGTAGAAAAATATTTGTTCGCCTCCTACGGCGACACTATGCGACGGATAGGACACAATATTATTTGTTTCCGTTGCTTTGGGCTTTGACGAGTAGAGTAGAGTAGAGTAGAGTAGAGCAGAACACAGGTGTTTCGCATCCCTTCGTTGACACGTGGAGTGTAGAATCGATTGCGATTCGTTCGCCTCTCCAGGCGTTGCCATGTAACCCGTGGTGTCGACGATCAAGGACTTCCCAAGTAATTCAAATAGATCCCAGGGGATGCTCAGTAGATTCTTGTGTTTTTGCGATTTCCAGGAGAAGCGTAAACACTTGACTGCGAAGTCCTGTGGATTTTTGTTGCATCTCCTGGGGGGCCCCAAGGGTTGCTCAAGAACTTCGATGGATTCCGCAGGATGTCCCTACACGCCTCAACCATGTCCCAAGGATTCCTGCAGATTCTGGCGGGTCGTCGGGCTCCCTATTTCTTTTAGTAGCCGGCCGTTGTGCCATAGACAACACATACCGGGTAGTAAAGATATCCTAGGAGGTAGAAAGTTTAAGTAAACGATGCCATAACAATAAGTACACATATACGTGTATAATACTTCTATTTCTACATATATATATATATATGTGGAGGACAACAAGGCAATGAGGGAGACAAGAGCAATACACATGGGCACAAAGAGGAACACGTACTATGACGGACAAGTCAGCAATGCCAGAAGCCCATACGAATTCCGGGTGCCCAGACATCAGCAACAACATAATGGGTATTAGTGTAAACGCATCGTGAAGTACATGCCATGTTTCATTGGTAACTATCTTTATTGTATTTATGTGTGCGCATCATGTGTTTTGTTCGTGAGTGATTGTTCGTGAGTGTTTCCCCTTTGCTATCCCCCCATTCGTCCGCCCCGATAGCGTGCAAGTAGCGCGGCCGCGCGTGTCTGCCATCGCGTTTGGGGAATCCGCGCGAGATGAGCAAGAGTTGATGGCCGTCGGGGCCACAGGGGAGCCACGACGCCAGAGAGTTCCACTACTGGATTCGAATTGCCACGCGACGGGTTCCATAATAAAAATGGGCCTCGTTCGAGGGTCGAAGAAGTTGTCATCTCTTCCTCGGCGGAAGACGGCGGAAGGTCGGCGGAAGCTGGCGGAAGTAAAATGAAGCCGCCTCCGCCGGCGGAAGGCCAGCGGAAGGCGGCGTAAGCAAATGATGTGTCCCCAAGGGTTGGCAACGTTTTTGGATTCAGGTTTCCAGAATCGGCCACATATGGCGTGCCAGCAAGGGCTTCTTCGGCGCGTCTCACCCTCGGCGGAAGGCCGGCAGAATCCATTGGGAGTCAAAGGGCGGCGGTTGCGGCGGCAGGGTGGCATAGACATGTTGGTCATTCAGGGTTTCCAGAGTCGGCCACATGGGCCCATCCATCCTGGAAGGGAACGAAGGCCCTTCAGCTTTCGCTGCCGCGGGAAGCTGATCTGGAGTTACCGTGTGGTTCAGGTCTGGCTGCCAGGTCTTCGTTGGCTGAGCTCTTCCAGGGCTGGGGAAACAATAAAAAAACAGTTGCTGGGGGTTGTGGCAAAGTATGTGTGGAAGAATCGGGGGCTCACAAAGATGGCACGTGTCGAAGAAGAGATCACGGCGCAGCCAAATTTATCCAGTCGAAGGACCCAGCCATATGCAGTTGTGACTCTCGCCGTTGTGGGTGTCGCTTTCGGTGGATCTCCTCATGGGTCCACTAAACGTGCAAAAGGTCAGTCGAAATGGGGCGGGGCCACCATGCGGGCGCTGCTAATGGGGCCTTAGGTACCCCACTAATGGGGCCACGAAGCGTGTGAGGGGTGCGCGGAAATGGAGCGGGGCCGCCATGCGAACGTCGCCATTGGAGCCTTCGGTATGGGGCCATGAAACGCGTGAGGAGTGGCCCGACATGGGCGGGGGGGGACGCATGCGAACGTCGCTACTGGGGCCTTCGCTGGAGCTCCGCATGGGGCCACGAAGCGTGTGAGGGGTGAGCCGAAATGGGCGGGGGGGACGCATGCGAACGTCGCCAGAGGGGCCTTCGCTGGAGCTCCGCATGGGGCCACGAAGCGCCTGAGGGGTGAGCCGAAATGAGCGGGAGGAGCGCGAACGAACGTCGCCAGAGGGGCCTTTGGTGGAGCTCCGTATGGGGCCACGAAGCGCCGTACTGGGTCGGGCGGACGCGTGCAAACGTCGCTATGTGCGGCCTCCAGTGGGATTCCCTATGGTGCCACGGAGCTCTGCACAGGGTGGGGCGGACACATGCGAGCTCCGCCATTGGGGCCTTCAGTGGAGCTCCCTATGGGGCAGCAACTAAGCGCTGTACAGGCGGGCGGACGCATGCGACCGTCGTCACTGGCGCATTCTGTGGAGCTCCGTATGGGGCCACGAAGCGCCGTACTGGGTGGGTCGGACATATACGAGCGTCGCCAGTGGGGCCTTCGGTGGAGCTCCCTCTGGAATCACGAAGCGCTGTACTGGGTGGGGCGTACGCATGCGAACGTCGGTATTGGCGCATTCGGTGGAGCTCCGCATGGGGCCACGAAGCGCTGTACTGGGGGTGGCGGGCGCAGACAAACGGCGCCACTGGTGCCTTCGCTGGGGCTCCCTATGCGGCCACGAAGCGCTGTACTGGGTGGGGCGGACGCATGCGAGCGTCGCCACTGGGGCCTTCGGTGGACCTCCCTCTGGAGTCACGAAGCGCTGTACTGGGTGGGGCGGACGCATGCGAACGTCGGTATTGGCACATTCTTTGGAGGTCCCTATGGGGCTACGTAGCGCTGCATTGGGTGGGGCGGACGCATGTGAACGTCGCCAGTGGGGCCATCGGTGGAGCTCCCTATGGGGCCACGAACCGCTTTACTTTCTGGGGCGGACGCATGCGAACGTCGCCACTTGAGCCTTCGGTGGAGGTCCCTATGGAGTCACGAAGCGCTGCGCTGGGTGGGGCGGACTCCTGCGAACGTCGCCATTGGGGCGCATTCGGTGGAGCTCACCATGGGGCCACGAAGCGCTGCACCTGGGCTCCCCCCAGCCCGCGCCCGCTCCCCGCCGCCGCTCCCACTCCCCCTGGGCGCGGCCGGCGTGCGCACCCGGGGGTGCACGGGCGCGCACCTCCCGCTGGCCGGCCCCCCCACCAGCCGAGCGACCGCCCGACGACGACCGGCCGACCGACCGGCCGACGACGACCGCCGACACACGGCCGACGACTGTCGGAGGACCACGGCCGACGACGACGGCCGACGACCGACGGAGGGCCATGGCCGACCGGCTAACCGACGGCCGACGACCGACGGCCGACGACAACGACGACCGTCGGAGGACCCTCAGATCCTAGTGTTCCAATTTTTTCGAGCGGGGTGTTTTTGTCCAGATTCGGGCCCCTGGGCTCTCACAGGTCGATGAGGCTCGAAGCACGGCGCGAAAGCGATGGGGTCTGAGGGCTCGTGTCGTCATTTTCTCGATGTTTCATTTTTGTATTGAGACGTCAGATCTCAGGGGGGGAGGGCCTGTCGAGACAGCTTCAATCCTGGAGTCGGGATGGACCCCAGGAGGCATGAGGGGGCCTGTCTTGAGCGGATCTCGGCTGGGCGGGAGAGCCGCCATTGTCTCGACTGGCCCTCCTCCAGGTCCGAGACCGTCGTCGTCGACGACCGACGACGACAGGCGGCGGCGGCCGCAACGACGTCGGCGGCGACGGCCACGACGGCACGAGAGCGGGGCAGGGGAGCGCGGGCCGAGGCGACGGCGCGAGCCACGGGCACTCGCACGGCCACGACGCGGAGGCGCGCATGCGCGCGGCCGTTCGGGGAGGGGGGGGGGGGCAGGGGGAGGGGAGGGAGGGCCGGGCAGGCAGGGACGCAGGGGTTCTCCGCGGAGGTCGCCAGCTTGCGCTGCCCCGCCGTCCTGCGCCTCCTCGCGCGACCACCTCTGGCGCTTCTCGCACGGTGCCCCCAGCGCTCTGAGCTGAGTGCGCTCCGGGTCCAGGGTCACCTCCAGGTATGCGCGCCAGCGGTCTTCAAGCCTTCCTGTCCTGGGGGCCCAGGTCCCCCTCGCGCCGTGGAAAAGCACGACAAACGGTTTTTTGTTGGTTGTTGTTGTTGTTGTTGTTGTTGAACATTATTTATTCTAAAGAATAATTATTGTTGGGCCCCCTGGTGCGCGCCCCCCCCTGCGCCGCCTAGGCCGCAGCTACATTTTCATCATTTTCGTGAGGAAGCCTCAGAAAAGAGGGTGTGTACAGGATCCGGTTGTTTTGTTGTAATCCGCTTTCCCTTGCAAAAAACAATAGAAAATGACATTTCTTGTTCTAATATAATCAAATTTCAAGAATCCCTTGCAAAAAATAAGGTAAAGTGGACATTCGCGCGCGCAAGACGAAATCCTTCCAAAACCTTAGTGTTCGCAGCGATTTTAACATAAAAACATCAAAAAACCAATGGTTTTTCAACAAAAAAATGTCAAAATCTCATCCCGCGCGCTCTTGCGGATTCGTAGGAAACCCAACACTTTTTAAACATTTCTGTCAAACGGGCTTTTGCGAGCAACTTTTTCGAACTTCTGCGACAACGGTTGCGCACCTGCCAGGGCCATCATCCCTGTCAAATAATACCATGCGGGACACATTCGTTTTTTCTTCGCGCGCGCACGCCGTCGTCGTCGGCCGCGGGGCCCTGAATAGTAGCCACGGTCGTCCGCATGCCACGAAGTGAAGTGTCCGAACGTCATAGGGCGGGAAGCTGGGTGTGGGTGGTGGCGAAGAGTCGTTTGGAAATTTGGTAGAGCTTGAACCGGCCCCCCCACAAAGTGGGGGTATTGCCCGCCTCCTATGAAAACCCTGGCACTGGTGAGAACGGAGTGTCCCCACGTGCTAGTAATTGTTGTTGTTGTTGTTGTTGTTGTTGTTGTTGCTGCTGTTGTTGTTGTTGTTGTTGTTGTTGTTGTTGTCGTTGCTGTTGGTGTTGTTGATGTTGTTGTTGTCGTTGTTGTTGTTGTTGCTGTTGTTGTTGTTGTTGTTGTGTTTAAACTCTCATTTTTGAAAAAATAATTATTGCTGATCCCCCCCACCGGTTCAAAATTGTTTTTTCTTAATCAAAGTGTGCCCCTCGACGCTCGCACCCTGTTTTTTGTCAGGGAAAGTCTTCCTGCTCAAACTGGCCCCCCGGCCCCCGGGTAACAACAACAACGGCTCCCGCCTGAGACTTCCTTACAATTTAGCCAGGACCCCCGCTCCCGCCCGAGACTTCCTCGCATGTTATTCAGGAATCGCGCTCTCGCTGGGGACTTCTTACAATTTATTCAGGAATCGCTCTCCCGGCGCTCTGGAGTCGCGCTCTCGCTCGAGACTTGCTTGCAGTTTACTGAAGAATAGCCTTGCGTTGGAATTTCCTGCAATTTGCCAAAGCGCCGCGCTCCCGACACCCAGGCACCCAGGAG